GGCAGGCATTGAGTCCTTTTGTTCAAATTGAAATTATTTTGCATGTAAATTGTACATCTTTTAAATGATATCTCGACTCTGTTCTTGTCGCAAGATGCCCTCATTTGTGGTTACAGCGTTGATATATTTACCACCTTTACCTTAAAACTACTATCAACTTACGTTTGAAATGTTTCGTTTTCTATATCTAAGTAGCTTGAACTTCATTGTTTTATTATAGGATCATTCGTACGCCGAAAATGGGGTATTAACATCACCATTGACGCAATTGACGGTACCTATGACCCGGATGTTGGGGAGTCGGACAAATCGAATTTCACGTTCCGTTGGTTCTGTCGACGTCTCTGTGAAACGTGGCCCGAGTACAACGACAACTTCTCAATGATTTTGGCTCCGTTTACGTCGAACTGTACCTACGACACGTTGAATGGTGCCGACGAAGGAGGTTGTTTCAAGTATGATGGCGTTGAGTCTGCTGGTAAGGAACGCTTACCGTTTCGGTGGAATATGTTTTTCATAAGAACAATTTGATATGCATCACCAAAAACGAAAATTTTCGCAAAAACAGAAGGTGAATGTTCACCATTAAATGTGATCGAAAAAGGTGGCAGATTGTTGCTTAATCCAAGCGGCGTTGATAATTCTACCTTCGCCAGTTTCACATGTTTTTGCTATTTTACATACTTTACAATTTACGTTTAAGCTTACGTTTCACCTCTTGATAATAAACAATTACATCAGAAAAAATCGAAAGTTAAATTTTGTTTCAAAAATACATAAATATGGTTCCCAGGGGAATTAAACGCAACAACTGGTGTTGAGATATTTGACACGACGAACTGGTACGAGTTGGACGTGGTGGAAATGATGGTGGTAGTGACCAAAGATGACCGTATGCAAGTTATGAGGCAGGCCATCAACGTGACACTAGGAGATCCCCCAGAGATTGAACTTAGGTGTGTATATAACATTTATAAGATTTTGTATTGGACTGAATATACAATGGTGACATGGGAGTCTTGGCCATGCCATGAGTTATCGGTCAGCCAACTTGACAACAGCCTCGTTGCCTTGCTATCAGTCAGTAAAATGCGTTATTTTGTCTTTGACCCCATTCCCATAGATATTTAGATCGATCTATCTCACTGGGGAGTCTCACTAGATTGGTGTCATCTTAACCGGCTTAAATGTCTGTCCCGCCTACTAAAAGCTGAAAGGGGGTAATTAACTGTCGTGCGCGCTCGGCTGACAGCAATTTAGCGTGAACCCCCCGGGAGTTAGGTCGATCCAGATGGAAATGCAGTCTTTGTCTTGAATCCCACTACCCTCCTCCGGAAAATTGTTGACTGGAATTAAAAGGAAGAAGAAACTTGTGTTTACAACTTGAATAGCTCGAGAACTGTATATAGTGCTGTGAATCTACTTCACTACAATTTTCCACGACTTGTGGAAAAAACGTGTCCAATTATCTGTATCTTTATTTCAGCTGTGTGTCAAACTGCAAAGCCAAGGTGAACCCTCTGTATCCGTTCACTGTCAAGTCCAAAATATTGAAAGCTGGTCTTGCGCAGTATTCTTATATGTAAGTACCACAATGTGCACCTAGCGTCGTTGCCAAAAACATCTTTGAAATACATCTACATCTTACTTTATCAAAGACACATTGGGCCTTTCATAGTCATAGGTTAAAAAAGATTTTCCTGGTGGTATTATTGTTTTAATAGTCATAAAGCCATCCTTACGAGATTAAAAGAGTGACGTGATAGATAAGTGTGTGCACTTAACTCTCTAAATAAACATTATTATTATTATTATTATTATTATTATTATTATTGTTGTTGTTGTTGTTGTTATACGTCATGCATTTAAAATTGTTCATTATTTCACGCCTTTTTATTCCAGCTGGGACATCGTGAAGGCTTCTCCTGGGGTCGATCCATATACTGTTCCTCCATGGGACCCCAATGTATGGCAGGGGTATGCCAAGGGAACAGGACGGGAAACGGCAGACATTTTCCTGGACACTGGAATCTTCACTGCGGCGGATGTCGGCATGCGGCTGTTCATGCGTTGTCGGGCCTGGAGAACTGGCAGAGCGGACAATTATGGTAATGGAAGTTTTCCATGATGTTAATAGCTACAAGACCAACAGTGAACTGTTCAAATATGTTAAAAATAATATGATAATAAATATTTCATAATAATATGATAAAAATATAATATTTTAAGATATTTAGTTTTAGGTGATGTTAACTAGCGCTCAAAGAGATTGCCGAATATAGACATTTTGAAATGACAAGACAATAACGATTTCATTTGATTGATATTTCTTTTATCTATTCAGGCGAATCTTCCCTTGAGTTCATCATTAACGAGCCCCCTGTCCCTGGTAACTGTTCAGTTTCTCCCTTCAATGGCACGGCCCTGGAAACCACCTTCAACACCTTCTGCGCGGACGAGTTTCAGGACGATGATAAGCCTTTCGGATACAAAGTGGGATATCGCATTTTCCCAGACGATGACTGGAGCTGGATCTATGAAGGTGAATGACATAAATATCGATGTTTCAAGGTAAAGAATGAGCAGATGTTCAAAGTCATTGGTATATTATAGTTTGACTGAATGGTTTGAAAAGCTTAGGGGAGACCGGCGCTAGTTGAACCCCGGGGTAAGTTGGTCCCCCATCAATTTATGAAAAAGTAAAAATGGTAAAAGAATTGATCACATCATTTTGTAAAGTGACCGTATCCAATAGTGCTAAGAAAGCGTCGGCAGTGAGTCTAAATGAAACTAGAAAAGCACTCAGAGAGCGCAGACCTCTGCCAAGGCAGCAAAGTCTCCATCCAATGCTGTTTCACCCCTAAATTTTCGATATTTTTGATTATTGATTATTGATCCGGATTACCACCAAAAATTAATCATCTGTTCTTTGGCTCACTTCTGACGGTTTCTGAAAATTTCATCAAAATCGGTCCATAACTTTTTGAGTTATGTTGATGACAGACAGAGAGAAAGACAGACAAACAGGGGTGAAAACATAACCTCCTTGGCGGAGGTAATAATTTAGCATCTTAAGGTAACTTTATTAAAAAGACTTGATGGGGGGCCAACTTACCCCGGGGTCCAACTAGCCCCGGCCTCCCCTACACTTCAACAGTTCTGCTATTGAAATGGGGATTGACACACATTTTATAATTATGGTAAAAATGTTTTTAATCTTATCAGTTATTCGTTTATGACCTACAACCTAAAGCGTTGTCAGGATTATAGTTAAAGAAAGAAGCAATGTCTTATTCTGATCTGATAGTTTAAAGTTTTTTACACTATTTTGATATACAATTACAGGCAGCACTTACACCATGCGAAAGGCCGCCTATCTGCCGCAAGGAAATTCGGATAAGAACTACGAAATTGAAGTCAAGGTTCAAGCCATCGATGCCATCGGTTCGGCCGCTGAAGTGATCTCTACTGCAGTCGTAAGTTAAAATGCATAAGAACTCTTCTTTAATTCATTATCGTATTTCAATGACGATAATGCTTCGTATTTACTCTTATAACAAACTTTGCTATTATTACTGTAAGAAAAGGCAACCAGAATGTATTTGATTTAAAGCTAATGGTGGAACAGTGTCATACATCTTATTATAGTAACATTTTGAAGAATTATAATTGATTTCAAAAGGCAATATCATGGTATATGAAGCAAGATGTAAACAGCATCATGCACAGAACAATTGACAGAAAAAAGCAATATAGAAAAACATGTTCCTATATTTCCAGGTGTACCCTCCCTCTGCTGAGACCATGGCAGCTATGATGGGTAATATGACGGGGCCGGATGGATACATTCAGCAACTGGCCAGGATGGGAGACGCGCGTGAAATGATGCAGACACTTGGCGTACTTGTGGCCTATATGAACATAAATAATATGTATTCTGTTGATGCTGCTTTAGCTGAACGTAAGTTTTAATGCATTCAATAAAAGTGAAAACAGCAAAGCGACTCTTAGATGTAAAATAAAATAGTTCAGACGGAAATAGTGTTCAAATAATGTAATACCAGTTAACTGAAAAGAGGATTCAAAATAAGAAAAAATGTCTCGAAAAGAAGTTGTTTCGTGTAATATCTTGCCTTGTCCCTTTCCTCTTTTCTATCACTGCCAAATCATAAACAAATATTTAACGCTTTTATCAAAAATTTAATACAGAATTCAACGAAACTGAAATCGCCCTGGCGCTGCTTAACGCTATTGCCGACGCCGACCTGACCGACAGCGAACGCACCCAGAAGGATACTCTGACGGCCAGGATGGATGCTCTGAGATCAGAAAACGCTTCTGCGTACCAGACATGGTTTGACCAGAGAGTACAGGTTAGTGATATCACGTAGTTGTCAAATTTTAAGTAAATACTACACCACAACACAAACCATATGTTGGACGGATTGAAAGCCAGACAGACAAACTCAGTCGCTTGGCATCGAGCCCTTTGCGAAGCCACTATTATAATTATTTCATAATTTCATCATAATGATTTTTGAACAGGTTGACTTTATTTTTATAAATTAACTAAACATAAAAAAGTGTTTGATGCTAAATTCAGTGATTATTTATGAACCGTTACTATTTTCAGATCCGTCAAGAAATCTGTCAAGCGTTGTCACTTATGAACTTTGTAAGCTTGTCAACAGGCCGTCTCATTGTGTCTGGATTGAGAGACATGGTCAAATTGCCCAATGAAGTTAATGCCTTGGCCGTGGTAAGGTTTCTATTTCATAAGAGTGAATACGCGTGTCTGTTAAGGGTCAGTAATGAGAGGGATTTCCGCTACAATATGCAGGCCCATCTCACGCAAGCACATTCATGATTTCAAGATGCTGCAAAATAAGATTATAAAAGGCACAGAAGTCAAGTCTCTTTAAGGCTGCTCGATTGCTCTTATATCAGTTGTAGGCCTACATGTACATGTATATTATAAATGTGAGGAAATTACAATCCTTCGTTTTACTTTCAAAATTTAGGAAGCCATTGGTACAGTGGCACAAAAAGTGTGGGATTTGCTGGACGCCAATAAAGATGCTATGGAAGGGCCAGATCTAACTGCGAACGCCAAACTTCTGATAGAAATTATTGGTAAGCCAATAAAATACGAAAATATACCATAACGATTCCCCCGTCACCACCATAACACACGTGCGCTGTGTACCTCACAAACAGAAATGGGTACTTTATAATTAATTCAAAGCTACACGAACGTCAATCCCAGTAATTAAAATTGTAGAATAAAACACATCGTTAATTTCCCTACAGGTCGAACTCTAGATGCCATTAATGCTATTAATGAAGCTGGAAACCTAGAGGCGGTAAGTTTCCATATTCATTAGATTTTTCTATTTTTTCCTATTTTGTCTTTTTTTATAGTCAAAGGTAGTAAGAAATCTATCATCTTAGAGGCAATACAACACTATTATTAAGTCAATATACGTCACTTGATTAGGAGTTCTTTCAAAAGTTGAAAATAAAAGGAAAACATGAGTCTGTCACAAATGCACGTGTATGTCTTGCAATATATATCTAAGAATTACCGTATCTTTTTTCTTCACTTTTTCTTCAGGATCTGGAAGAGATTTTGAGGGCAACAAGGGTAAGTTGTACTTGTCTATCAACCTCCTATTAAGAAATTATGACTTATTCTCATGGTTTTCCCATTGACTCGTCACGTCACTGTCGAAAACGTATATTTTTTTTAGTTTCGTCTTACACTATGACAAGAATACGCCTATATCATGGTGGATCACCAATCCTGAAATACTTCACAGTAATCAGCCTTTCATAAGATATCCCTTGGGTCATTCAAGGGATATCTATATAAAGGCATAGTATACCTTAGTTGGGTATAGTTAAATTAATAGAAGGGACAATGACTCCGATCTATTTTGTTGAAGGCTGTTTATTCAGTTCTCGTAATGTCCAGGATCAGATACAACTTCTCGTGTCTAGAGCTCAGACCCAACTGAAAGCTAATGTATGTGGGTACTCGGTTCGTATTCAGTTTTCTTGTTTGAAAAAGACAAAATGTCAGGGTTATCAATGAACTCCGGGTACTTTCGTCTTGGGACTTCAACACCCTTGATAGATAATAAATTGGACTCGCACTGCGTGTTAATCCATGTATATTACAGCCTGTCTGTTCTGTTCATTATATGCTTGTCAATAGGCATACTTGAATGCGTATAAAGGCATGGAAAAAGCAGTAAGAAACAATGAAAAGTTTATGTAAACAAACGAAGCAGAATTTACATTTCTGTTACCAACAGCTGTGCCTTTTCTGTCATCGTCTGGAAACGTATTGTTTAGATATCTACTGAGACTGTTTGGAAAGTCAGTAAACATTCCGTCGACACCGAGATTTACAAAAGTATCGAACTCCACATACGGGTCTTGTTCATAGTCCCATGCCAGATACTGGTCTTCGTTTCTAAATGTCCAGGCGTGAACTTTCATGCCTAATTCATGACTCCTGTTAATCAGATTTGTGGCGTTTCCGAGAAAGTTTTTGTAACCATTATCTGCATTCCAAGACGGAATGATCAAATCTTTCCAGGGACCAACTCCGTAACAAAATTTTGACCATTCCTCTAGCTGCTTGTCTGTTGGCATTGAGGTCCAGAATAACATAACCAGAGGGCAGTTTGTTTTATTAACAAGCAAACGCAAACTTTCTTCCTCGAATGACTGTATAAAACAAGGGTCTGTCTTCCGATAGTAGTTATTTCTTTTCAATTCCTGAGCTAGCAGATCCTCAAACGTTGTTCCGTTCATTATATCCAGAGAATTCACCCACCTTGGGTGCTTTGTTTCAATATGCAATCCAACTGGTCGGTTGGCAGATTTAGCAACTTGTATAAAATCCTCCATCGAGGCTATTGAATAAATTCCATCACTAGAGTGACTCCTGAAATGTAAAGTCTGGACTTGCTTAATCGTTTTAAGTTCATCCAACGTGAAATCAACGCTAAACCAGTCGGTGATATACTTTTCCTCTCCTTGGACATAATATGTTCGAACGCGGTCGGCAAATTGCGGCAATAACATCACATTTGTAGACTTATTAAACCAACTTTCATGTAAGCACACAATCTGAAGATCTTTGGTAATACAGGCGTCGCATTCGATGACATCGGCGCCTTGGGTGACAGCAAGTTCATACGCGGCCAGTGTATGCTCGGGCAACATGCCAGAACTACCCCGATGGGCGATGTTTAACGGCCGTTTTGTAGGAAGGCTAACTCCATGATCAATTTTGCTGAAAAATGCAAACCGTAGGTACACAAGGAAAATTGCACACACACGCGTAAACATCTTCACGCTGTTGGAGGTAGC